CTGCTGGCTCCGGCTCAGCTCCCTGTCTGTGCCAGCTCCCAAGTCCCTTCCTGCCTGGTGCTCTCTAGCCACTCTGTTCCCAGCCTGTATATGTAAGTTACAGATCTATATGTACATATCTAAAATAGGATTTAGCCTCTTCGGGTCTGTTGCTGTGGTTACAGCTTCATTGTGTTCTTCACGTGCCTTCCAGTGTGCAGTTGTGTTTCCCACCAAGATATCCACGGAGCAGCAATCCCTGATGCTGGTGAAGAGGCTCCTGGCAGTGGCAGTGTCCTGCATCACCTATCTGAGAGGGATCTTCCCTGAAAGTGCCTATGGAACGAGATACATAGATGGTAGGGGCTGTTTCCATAGTGATCTGCGAACTGTTGTCATCTGTGTGTTTGTAAAGCCACTTGGTCTCAATGAATGGAAACTTCCCTAATTGGATATTGTTAGTTAGTGCTAGTGCTCACAGCAATTAAAGCTGTGCCCACACGTGTCAGGAATGTTAGTTGGAGATGTGCATTTAGGGAATGAGCTTCACTTTTTAGCTGCATTTTGCCCTGAATAAATTGTGTGTTTATGTGCTTTTTTTATTTTTTTTTCAGATGTCTGTGTCAAAATCCTGAGGGAAGACAAGAACTGTCCTGGCTCCACTCAGCTGGTGAAATGGTATGTGATTCCAAACAGAGGTAACAACACCTCCTCAGCCTATCAGTGCTCAGAGATTCCTTCCTGGCTCTTCTCAGGACAAAGGGAACAGTTCCCTTGCTGTGAGTGAGCAGCACAAAGTGTTTCCAGAGATGGCATTGACTGAACAGTAGTGTTTCCAGAGATGGCATTGACTGAACAGTAGTGTTTCCAGGAAGACTCTGAGCTCGAGGCTTAGGAGAGCTCAAATCTTTGTTTGCAGTGATTACACTGTATGTTTCTTTGCTGGAGGTGTTCGAGTGCTCAAGGCTGCACAGAAATGCAGAAACCTAACCATTTTTCTGCTCACAATAACTGACATTTGTTCAGGGTGCTCTCACAGAACGTTCTGAGCTGGAAGGACCCACAGGGATCATGGAGTCCAACTCCTGCCCTGCACAGGACATCCCAAATCCCACCATGTCCTTGAGAGCCTTGGCCAAACGGTCCTGGGGCTCTGTCAGGCTTCAGGCTGTGGCCCTTCCTGTTCTCTAAACAGCATTTTAGGCCTTTGTTTATATACACAATCCTATGTTTTGTCACATCTCTAAAGGCCATCCTGATTCTCTTCCCACTTTATATATATTTTTGTATAAGGAGCAAACAGCAACACCTAAAGGCGATAACACAACTTTGTGCTCCAGACATGGCAGTGTTCAGCTGAATTTCTTATTCACTCATGGACTAAATGGAATTATTTCCATTTATTCATGGAATTCATGGAATGCTTTGGGTTGGAAGGGACCTTAAGTCACATCTCATTGCATCCCCCTGCACCTTCCACTAACCCAGGCTGCTCACCTGATTAATGAATACACAAGTCGAAGTGTTTTAATTACTGCTTTATGTTTCTACTGCTAAATTATTTACTTACAGGTTGTATTTTTAATTCTTCTGCCAAGATTCTGGGATGATTTGGTGTTACAGTTGTTGCTGTCAGTGCTAACGAGACAGAACAATGGAACAAGTTATTTGTTGCTCTAAGACAATAAGTCTACACAAGAGGTTCACTTTCTGGTGCTCTTTGATTTAGTCAGAAGCAAAGCAAATGGAATGAGGTGCAGATGGCCAATGTTGTTTGGTTTTTTTGCAGGATGTTAGGATGCTACGATGCCTTGCAGAAGAAATATGTAAGTCTTGCAGTCTCATTTGGCTCTTGGACTTGTGCTGAAACCTTTACTGAGCTCCCTCAGCTTCCAGTGTAGTTACGGAACACTCTGGTCAGGGAATAGCTGAGCCATATCAGTTAGCTACAGTGTGGGATGCACAGGATCATATTCTTTGGGAACAGAAGCACTAAAAGTCAGAGATATGTAGGTGTTTTCTTCTGCCAGTTGGGTCCTCCTAATCAGAGAAGAAGAGGAAGAGATTTTCCTTCCAACAGGCCTTAGTTGTCTGTGTTGGGCTCCAGAGCTAGAGATACAAAGCAGAAATAGGCTATGAACTATACCTAATGTTCTCTTTCTCTCCCTGTTTCTGTTCCTGACAGCTCAGACAACTTGTCCTAGCAGTAAGTATCTCTGAGAAGTCAGGACGTGTTTTTAAGGGCCATTCTTCGGAGTGCAGTTATTATCCTGATCCCTCTCTTTGCTCTAAACACACAGGTCTATACTGACCCAAAGGATCCTCAGGTAAATCTGCTGGAATGTCTTCCTGATGGCTAAGTATGGATACAGTGAAATGTGTATACGAACAATAGTACTTAACATGCTGTGCTGATCACATAAAACAAAAGGATCTCTTGGAATATCAGGTGGAAAAATCACTGGAGCCAATGGGAATTGCCATGGAGGGAATTGCCTTCGAGTGTGGAGTGTCAGGTTATTCTCAGGCTGATGTAAGAAACCCAAAGTGTTGTTGCAGAGCTAAATATCCATAAAGATGCTTTGTCCTGACTCTGCCTAACAAATCCACAGACTCGTTGTGGAAAACTCTGTCTAACTAACTCCCAGGTGTCTGTGAAACACGTCCATAGGGATTAAAACTGGGATATTTCATGCTAAAAACCTAAGCTGATGTTTCAAGGTATTTTATCCTGGTGATTGCTGGGAAAGGACACGGAGCCTTGTTTTTATTTGGTGACAGTTACATCCACCAACGCTGTCACTGGTTAGAGCCCTGGGGAGCTGTGTGCAGTGCAGGTAGGTGAGTGGCTCAGAGGAGAGTTGGGCTGGAGCTGTATTCTCTGAAAGTTGATATCTGACTTGCCAGAAGCAGCAGCAGCAGTTTGTTGGCAGCTCAGGGTCTGATAATTCCTGACTTTGTTTGCAGACAGTCACAGAGTGTTACCATTTCAAGTTCAAGTACACCTACAATGGGCCACTCCTGGATTTCAGCAGGTACTGCCCCTGGCACTCTGCTCCCTGGTTTCACACTCCTTTTCCATACACCTGAGTGGCAAAATGTTGGATTTGATCTGTTTGATTGTTAAATTCTGGATCTTAAGATTAATTTTATCAGCATAAACTACTAGCTTAGGCTCACTCAAATACGATGAGTAATTTTGTCTGTCTCATATTTTAATAGCCACTCAAATATGTTTAGGATCAGAGTCTGATATTCTTTGGGATATTTTATGTGTGGAGGGTGAATCAAGGCTGGAAGAGACAAGATCATCAAGTCCAACTGTTAGCCTGTCACTGCTGTAACCCCTAAACCCCAACTCACTGCCTAAAGGCTATTGAGGCACTGGAGAGAGTCCAGCCAAGGGCAACGAGGGCAGCAAAGGGCTAGAGCACATGGGGAAGGGCTGAGGGAATTGGGTTTGGTTAGCCGGGAGAAGAGGCTCAGGGGTGACCTCAGGGCGCTCCAACTCCCTGACAGGGCTTGGAGAGAGGTGGGGGATGTCTCTCCTGCCCTGGCTGCAGGGAGAGCACTAGAGGGAATGGCCTTGAGCTGAGACAGGGCAGAGTCAGAGATGATGTTAGGAGAAATGTTTTCCCTGTTAAGGTGTTCAGGCACTGGGATGTGGAATTGCCCAGAGAGACGGTGGAGTCACCATCCCTGGAGGTGCCTAAGAGGTGTCTGGAGTCACTGGAGGATATGGTTTAGGGTTTAGGGGTTCCAGCAGTGACAGGTTAAGGGTTGGTCTCAGTGCTCTCAGAATTCTCCTCCAACGTTGATGATTCCATGATTCTAAACAGTTGTGTGCCTTGGTGCTAAAAACACCTGACTGTGTTCAAAACCCAATCTGGATGCTCTGTCCATTCTCAGTAAGGATAAGAAATGTGACTCCTCCATCACCTGTGCAGACACCAAGAAAGCAAGTATCCTCCTGATCCGCAAGATCTACGTCCTGATGCAGAACCTGAGCCCACTGCCTGACGACGTCTGCCTCACCATGAAGCTCTTGTACTACGATGAAGGTACATCCCATGTGACCTTGATTTACCAGCTGTGTCCAGGCACTGCAGAGCAATCCAAAGACATAATCCCTGTGTTTTCTGGGACTTGTTAGGTGATGTTATTCCACGTATGGCTGTGCCTACGACAATTTCTGCACTCCCGGGGGAGGGATGTGATCTTCCTGCAGGAACAATCCTGGCACTGCCTTCACTTAGAGCAGGATTTTGGTGTGTTTACAACCCCCTTGACTATAACACAGTGTAAGGAATACATTGAGTGAGGCCAGTTCTGGTTTGATGATTCCTGGCTCAGCTTCCAGGGTGTGTTACTGCCTTCCAACCATGAATCAGAGCTTCCAGCTCACCTCTGTATCCACAAGCTGTTCCACTGGGGTTTGCCTGTTGTGTAGGGGGTAAGTTCTTCACTTACTACAAGTTGAGTATTATTATTCCCCTCCCCACACACAATTTTTTATGCAGTTTGCATTGAAAGGGCCAACACAAGCTCAAATGAGTTTTACAAGGACGTATTTCATCCTAACACATTTAATGAACTCTTTTTCTGCAGTTACCCCTCCTGATTACCAACCCCCGGGGTTCAAGGAGGCTCAGTACGAGGGGATGATGTTTGAGGGGGAGCCCGTGTACCTCAACGTGGGGGAAGTGCCAACACCTTTTCACACGCTGAAGGTTAAAATCACCACGGAAAAACAGCGCATGGAAAACACTGACCAAAACATCCTCAAGCAGAGAGACACTGCTGAGCCTCTGCAGGTGCCTGAAGTGGGCAGAGATGATCCAGAGGATAAGACCCAGGACATTGATGTAAGAGCACAAATGTGAAGGAGGGAAAGTCTAAGTTGGAAAAAGTTTTTACTGTAAGGGTGGTGAGACACTGGCCCAGGTTGCCCAGGGAGGCTGTGGCTGCCCCAGCCCTGGTGGTGTTCAATCCAGGTTGGATGAGCCTTGAGCAACCTGCTCTGGTGGGAGGTGTCCCTGGGCAGGGCAGGGCTTGGGACTAGATGATCTGTAAGGTCCATTCCAACCCCTAAATTCTATGATTCTATGATCTAGTAAGTCTGACCTTAAGCACCTGAGTAGGAACCTTCTTCTGCATTAAGTGACAAACCTTTTCCTTCATCTAGGAAGATTCTGCCATGGATAATGAAGTGGAAGATAAGAATCACACCAATATTTCAGAAGCTGAAGGTAACATTTATGTCTGTTTTTCAAGTCTCTGCAGTTTTGTCTCTGCCTGGTGTTACTAAACCAAAACCCTCAATTTTCTAGATTCAGATGTCCATCATTTTCCTCACACATATCACTATGATTTGATTTCTCTCAGAGCTTTGTTCTGTGAAGCACTTGGTGAGCAAATGTGTGTTTTCATGTTGCTGTGACAACTTCTTCTGTTCCATTTCATCAGATAAGCTCAACCTAATGGGGTTTGTATTTAGAAATACATTTTGTTTGGTTTTTCTATTACCATTGTTGTGGTTTTGACTGATATTTACTTTGCACACAAAGCTTGCAGAGTGTTGCACTCCTGAGCTCATTATTGCAGGCCTGAAGAGCAGAATTCCCTGTACCAAACTCACAGTCCAGCTCTGGTGTTTGTTTAAGTCTGTTTGGACTGTGCTCTCACAGCTTCAGTTCAGCGTGTCACTTGTAGCCACAATTTCTACTTCAGCTCCTCAGCCAGAGGCTGTGGAGGAGTTGAGAGCTTGTGTACACACACAGGAGCTGCTACATTGTGGGAGCCTCAGTGATGCCCCTTTTATTTACAGGAGCTGCAGGACATGGGAAAACACACTTGTCACCTTGAAATTCCTCTGTTGTTTCCCCAGCTTATGCATAGTCATCCTTACCCATTCCATGCTTTTATCTGTATCCCAGGAAAAAAAAAAACAACAAAACACCCCAGCATGGTTTGGAAACTGCAACAACAAAAATGTCTGGAATTGGCTGTTCCTCCTTCAGGACTGTTCCTGCAGCTGCAGGCAGGAACAAGGGAACTGCAGCTGGAATTGCTGTTGTGGCACAAGGGAACTGCAGCTGGAATTGCTGCTTGTAACTGGGACACAAACTGGATCCATCGGTGGTGGGTGCAGAAGGGGCAGGAGCTGTGCCAGAGTGACCCCACAGAGCCTTTGCCATATCCTGCAGCACATACCAGGCTCCTGAGTCTTTGGATTTGGAATCAAATCCCAGTGCAGACAAGGCTTTAGCAGGGCAGTGTAAAGGAGCTGGGGATCAATCCCACTTTTGCAGAGACCCTGTGTGTAAACCTGTGCTCCCGAGCAGCTCTTTGGTGCCTGTGGCTGGGAAGTGGCTCAAGTGCACAGTGGAATGGTTGGTGGAGTTCAGGACTTCCTGGCCACAGGGAATTGGAGTCCTTTGAAAGCACAGGTTCCCAGGAGGTACAGAGATCCTTGGGGCAGAGCTGGTGTGTTGGGAGCAGTTGACAGCTGTCGGTAACAGCTTTCTTTAACTCCTTTTCCTTCTTGCAGACACACACTCAGCTTGTAAAGAAGATGAAGTCAGGAAGGCTAGAGGGACCCAAAGTCCCTGTGTCTCTAATCCTCAGGTATGGAAGTTGCACTCTGTCCTCTCCAGCTTTCACTAGAGCTTTGTGAAGCTTCTTTCCTGCTCTGAGTAACAGATTTATTAAAGATTTACCACAGTCAGTATTTTCAGCAACAATATTCCTTTACATTTCACTTCCACAAAACATCCCAAAGCCCTGACAAGAGGCTGTTCCTCTGTGTCACACAGTTCTCCAACCAAACATGCTGTGACTGGGAGAAATGGGAATGTCATTTCCACGTCAATGAACTGCCCTGACCACACTCTGCCTGGTGGGGATTGCACTGCTAATTCTGTCAGCCCAAAGCTTGTTTAAAGGTTGCTTAAAACTTCACATTCCAGGTTATAACTCAGGTTATATCCTCTGCATGTGGAATTTGGTGACATTTAAGCAAGGAGGGGATGCTTCACACAGGGCCTTAAGATTTCTTATAGCAGAATAGCTGTAGGTGAGTGACTTACTGTATCAAACCAACTGCCAGAGCCCTTGGGCACACTCAGCTCTGGATGCTGTTGCCTTCCAAGGGTTGTAGGGATTTAAATTCTCCTGTACTGAATAACTGAGATACTCCTGTACTCAAATTTCAGGTCAGACACTGCAGTGACTGGCACAGCACTGAGTCCTGCTGGGGTCTCTTGGGGTGTTTTCCTGTTGCTATCCCAAGGAAACTTCCATTCTCTGCTTTTAGGTGGATCATTTGACCCAAAAAACATCTGAACTGGTTGTGTCAGAGAGCAGGACAAGGAGTGGGAAGATATTCCAAAGCTGCATTGTAAGTACCATTTCTTCTTCTGTTCCTTAAACCTTTTCCTGCAGCAAAGAGGGAATAAAACTCTGAGCTTGAACACATTTCCTATTCACAGAATGAAATTCTCAGCACTTCATAGTCTCACAGGATGTTAAGGGGTTGGAATGGACCTTGGAGATCATCCAGTCCCCAACCCTCTGCCCTGGGCAGAGACACCTCCCACGAGAGCAGGTTGCTCAAGGCTTTAACCAACCTGGAATGAACAGTGATAGCGTTGGGGCAACCACAGCCTCTCCCTGGGGCACCCAAATCCTCCCTGGGGCATCCACAGCTGCAGCCTGTGCCTGTGTCTCTCTGCCCCAGCCCTGGCAGGTCGGGTGGGACCTGGAGCAAGCTGAGCTAGTGGGAGGTGTCCCTGCTGTCCTGCTCAGGGTGGGCTGTGTCCCAGGCTAACCCCATGGAGCACCTGTAATTCCCCCCTGGTTTTCCCTCACAGGTGAACCGGGCTGAGCTCTCATCCAGCCAGGACATACTGCCCAAAAGGAGGAAGCTCAGTGAGCCCAAGGAGCAGTTCTAGATATCCATGTCCTCTGTCCAGAGCTCTCCTCTACTTCCAGTCAGCTGTTCAAGGTGACTGTTGGTATTTAAGGATCTGTTCTGCTCCATTAGCAATCCCAAGGGATGTTTTAGGGAAGGAAAATGTCCAGGAGTGCAGCTGGAGAGGTCAGAGCTGTGTTTGTTGCCACAGGAGGGACGAGAACACCTCTGATAGGGATTTAGGGTTTGGCTCCTGCTTCAGGTCCTGGTGGTGATGGAGTCAAGCTCATTCCTTCAGCACAAGGTTCCACCAGTGCCTCTGGGCTGAGGAGCTTATCCTGAGCCTCCTGCCCCAAATCCTCTCTGGTGCTGAGTTCTCCACGAGGGCTGGAATGGCTCTTAGTGTGTTACAGTTTGTGGTTCCTGTTTTCTGCTTTTCCAACCAGGACAGTTCCTGGGATTTGATCCTTTGTTTCTTCAAGACCAAAGGCACCAGAGTCAGGGCTACACCAAGCACTTCCCTCCCAGATTCCATGCCAGAATGCAGGAATTCCTGATGCCACGTATCCATGCAAAGTGCATCAGTTCCAGTGTTGGGAGTATTGGGAGAAACCTCTGTGCCCTTTAAACAGTTCACTGCAAAGGTTGGACGTGGTCCCAGTTCTCTTTCCGATACAAATCTGTAGGGTTTCCTTGTGCTCGAGGCCCGGGAATGAGGCTGTTTCCCTGGACGTTTTGACGTTTGTTGCTGGTTCCTCATTAAACCGTGTTTGCCGTTGGCTCTGTGTTCCACCCGCGGGGAGCGACGGGCGCGGGGGCTGATCGGCGGGAGCTCCCGCCGCC